ATATCCTGTACATCCTCTACTATAAGTGCCCCTCCTTGGCGGACACGAGTCTTTTTAGCCCTACGGCGTTTACTTAGGGCTTCATTTGCAGCGCGAAGGGTACGGACCTCAGCAGACAAAAGGGTCATCTCATGTGCCATTCGCTCTGTACCCTTTGCTAACGCAGCAACTGTTTGAAAAAGTGGAGTTGGCGAGCTTCCTTGATGACAGGCTATACGATTTCGTACAAGAGTTGATTGTGAAAGGGCTTCAGTTGGGTTGGAAGGGGTCTGGGACACCCAGGGGAGGGAGTTGGCACTACACGTCCGAGGGGGAGTTGGAGTCCGTAACCTTACGTCAAGCTTTGAAAGCACTGCTTGCGGGTTAAATGGTACTAGGCCAGCTCCGCGGAATCCAGACTGACAGTTTAGGACTGTCATTGTTTCCTTGTATGCTGCTGTAAAGGCTAGAAAGAACTCAACCTTTGTAATATGGTTGATATGGGCCTTGATAAACGTCTCAATCTGCCGACCATACGCTCGTTTTAACACACTATAGCACCCAACATCAAGTGGCTGGGTTAGATGGGATGAATGAGGAGGTAGTCCAAGAGTAATAATGTTGTGTTTCGTACAGTAGTCTTGGAACTCAGCCGATTCATGACTCTCGTGCCCATCCAAAACTAGTATTCGATACAGACCCTTTGCACGAGCTGTAGTGTGTTTATCAAAGTGCTTTAACCATTCCAGGCCTGTTTCATTATTTGTCCAACCATTGCTTGTCGGTTTCATAACCCAGTTAGGTGGGAGGCCGCCGTCGGTATACCAGTTGGAGAGATGGTTCTTGCCCTGAACTACCAAGAATGGAGGAATACTCCAGCCCTCCCCATTAATACAGGCAATTGCTGTAGCCCATTCCCGATTGCCTGGCTGAACTGCCTTGCCTCTACCACGTCGGTCTGCACGAGTAGCACGAGTAACAACCATTCTAGGACAAATAACACCCATCATAAAGCCTGTCTCGTCGAAGTTGTAGAAGTCGGAGTCTGTAACCCCATATTTCGCCCTCATATTCTCTACTAGCCGGAACCATGCGCCTAGCACGTCAGGATCTTCGCATAAGGCCCTCTGGAAGTCGTAAACGCGATTAAAACGCGTCTTAAGGTCTGGTTGTCGTTGTACGAATCGATGGGCCCAGAGCTTGCCGACGCGTCTTCCCCCCCGCGATTCAAGGATAAAATTAGCCATATCTTCTACACCAGCGAGCCGGGGCGCAAATCCTCTGGAATCCATATCCAGTATATACCGAATAATCACTTCCTCTTCTAACTCAGTCAACTTATGACAATTGGCTTGAGAATCTGGGCGGTAGGTTCGGCCAGCCATTCTGTCGGAAAGAGTCGTATATGGTACATTGTAGATCTTTGCCGCAGAGCGTTTGCTTAGTTTTTTGGACGACCGAATAGCCTCGATAGCTAGAGTGATTCGCGCTTCTTGAGTTTGAATTTCCATGGTAAATAGTTGAAGAAAACGTGTGTTGAAGTTTGAGGAGGTAGTGCCAAGGAAAAGTGATCGACTCGGTGATATGATCGACTCGCTGATAAACCACGTTATACTATAATAATAAAAGTTTTAGAAGTAATATAAACTTAATACAGCTTTAAAAGTTAGATTATAATTTTAGTATTTCTATAACTTATATAGGGATAGCTTTACTTTTTACTTATTTAGGTCGCGGAGTTTATATTTTAATTACTTCTTCTTTTAGGGTACTTTATTTGCTTTCTTAGGCGAGAGATATACTTTAATTAAAAACTGACTTTATTTATTAATATAAGTAACGAATAATTCGTATTATAGAAGTAACTAAATAATACCGTCTAATATACTATATGTACTAATTAACGAATCGCTAGTCGCGTTTATTAAGTAGTTAATTTAAAGGTTATAATAATATTATCGCTATACGAATATCGAGTAAATACTCGGTATAAGCTATAGTACGTATAAGTTAGCCTCAGGGCTAGCAGGGGTGCTAGCGCCTTAGTACTAGTATATAATAGCGACTGCCTATAACTGTAACGAATACTCAAACTGGCTTACTAAACTTGGCTGGGTGTTCGCTGGTTGGTATGCTATGATACGAAGAAGACTATCGGGTTGTTCACTTCGAAGTGAACTCGTTACTTGTATCAAAGATGTCAAACTAATATGATAAGATTGATAACTAAGTTGAGCACGAAGCTCCTATCTAATGGCAGACGTGCCAGTCTTATATAGAACCTTCGTTCTCTTTGATACTACCATGGAATGTCAGATCGTCTAGAGTCGCCGCGATCCACTTTGGGTCGCTACGACTCCCTATGATCCCTAGGTCACATGAACTAGACCCCGTGAAATCCTTGGGTCGCTTCGAAGGCCCCCAGGCCTTCTATTCGACCCTTCTGCTTATATGAAAGAGTATGAATCCTCGGGGTTCTCCTGTCGTCACCACGGACGTCTGAGCCTAAGGTCCCCTTGATTCACGTGTTCGTGACACTAACCTTTACTCGGTATATACATCTAATAGTCGAATATAATACTATTCTATTTATATTAACACTTTGTCTAGACTCTCTATTAGAGTTAAACTAATAAATATAGTTCGCTAAATACGAAAAAATAGCTTAGCGAAATAAGAACTCGGGAGGAGATAGTAGATAGAATAATATTTTCTAAATTCTATATTCTTATAGTATTCTCTTACGTTTAGTGAAAGTTTCTTAAGCTTATATTACTAAGTAGATATTAATAAGTATCTAGCGCGACTAAAACTTTCTCTTCTTTTAAGAAGAATAATATAAAAGAATAAAGTAAGAGACTTTTTAAGTTAGAATTTTAATTTAGAAGGTTAAGTATAATATATAAGTAATTTCCCTCAACTAAGGTAGATAAAGCGTTAGCGCTCGCTTAGTACTAGACTCTTATATAAAGGCTTTAAGTAGCTCGAGGCTTTACTTACCTATATAACCTATTTATTTTCTACCCCGGTCTATTTACCTATAGGCTTTATTTTCTTAGGGGTTAGCCCCTAAACCCTCGTAGCTTACTACGCTCGGAAAGTACTTTATATATTAATTTATTAGTATTAACCTTCGAGTAAATAAAAAGAGTATAATTCTAGAGCTAAATACTATTATAAAATCGTAATATTATTATAATAGTAGGAGTTTTATTAGGGTATAATTACGTAATGTACTAAGCTCTAGTTAGTACCTTATATTTATTAGGTAGGTACTGTGAGGGTACAGACGTGGAGGAAGCGATGTGGCCCGTGCCCTTGGAACTGTAAATAGCCTCAGATCTTACGATCACTTCCACTCTTTGTAGACAATTTAGTTCTTACGCATACAGTTGACCTTGTCGCTATCGCACCCTTACAGGTAATTTACTAAAATCTATAGTTATACTCGTGTATATATCTATACTTTACTAGCTATAAATATTAAAGAAATATAATAAGAATACTAAAATATAGCTAGAATACTTAGATTATTTATATTTAACTTATATACGTTCCCTATACTATTCTAGGTAAATACAAGCGTAAAAGCTATACGAGTAGTAGTTTTAGTATTCCTAGCTTATATACTTAGTACCTTAGCCTCCCCTTTACTACTAGTATTATAATTATATAACCTAGGTATTTACCTACCTTATTCTAGATATAGATATTATAAAAGCGTAGGGAGAATACTAGAATATAGCTTAAATCCTTAGATTATTTATACTTAAAGAATATACGTTTTATATATAATTCTAGTTAGATATAGGCGCGAGAGTAATATAGGTAGTTTTAGTATTCTTATATAAATACCTAAGTACCTTATTCTAGCTATAGTTATTATATAATTATTATTAGAATACTAAAATATAGCTAAAACTCTTAGATATTCTATACTCTAATTATACATATTTAGAGTACGATTCTAGCTTGATACGAGTATAAGAGTAGTAGTTATAGTTTTAGTATTCCTACCCCGGCGTACTAACTAAGCTAAACGAGTCCAGAATATCCCAGTTGTGACGGAGCTGGATTTCATTTGACAGGATTTCATTCGCTTGGCCAAGCACGTGACGAGACTTGGCATTGGAACAACTTAAATAACTTCGCTCCTTTCAGATTCTCTTCTCTCTTTAGTTTGATTTCTTCGTACCTACGGTTTTAGTTCTAGCAATTGATTCAAAAGCTGTATACACTTTATCCTTTGTTGGCATCCGTGACACCAGTCTTACTTTTTAGTCGAATTTATATTAGCTATATTAATTATAGGGGTATTCTAACTAATTAAACGCGACGTAAGAGCTATAAAAATCCTAGAAATATTTTGCGCCTGGGTAGCCCTTATCCCCGAACCACCATAAAACGTTAGCTGCGCTAACGAATAATGCCAAGTAATATATAGGTACAATACTTCTCGAAGTAAACAACAATCAGCGTTAAGATCACGTGTCGACTTTCCACATCACTTCCAAGGATAACTTCAACCAGGTAATTCTCGAGCAAGTCATATTTTCCAGTCCTCAAATCGGCAATATATATCACACACAACCCTCTTTTTTCCATCCATTCAATGACATAATATCTGGTCATTCGACCACTTCTTCGCCCATCACCTCAAAATGCTTTAAAATGGCATTTCGGGAGTTATACACAATTTAGCCTCAACTCTTCCCCATTCTTCCAATCTCACAATCTGGCCCGCGGCCCGCAGGAAATCGGTGAAATATCTGGGTCGTATACCTTGTCAAATGTAACCTATGGACTCCCAAAGATCGTGAACATGTGGTCATCGATGTCATCTTTTATGTCCGAGATATTGTCCCATGCCGCGAGGTTGTATATGTTGTTTCGCTTGGCGAGAAAACGTCGTGGGTTTGATCTGGGGTTTGATTGCTTTCATCTATTTACCCCGGATTTTCTACGACTGGAGATGGGGATTTGAGATTCTGGGTTTGAGGGGGATGTATAAAGGTGAGTGTACACCTCGATCTCATTGTGTTCCATATATCCCTTTTCACCTCGATAACCGAATCGTCAAACCTCTCCCGAAGTACCCATACCAGCTCCAAAATGAAGATCCTCAACACCCTCCTCCTAGCAAGCACAGTCTCCGCCCACGGCATGTGGCAAAAGCTCAAAATCAACGGCGTAGACCAAGGACAAAACGTCGGGATCCGACCCCCCTCCTCCAACAACCCCATTCAATCCGTAACCGGTTCCTCCATCGCATGTAACACCGGTCTCCTATCCCCGACGTCGACCAAAGTCGTGCAGATTCCTGCGGGTGCAAAGGTAGCATCTTGGTTCCAGCATGTTATTGGGGGTCCGCAGGGTGCGGGCGATGCGGATAATCCGATTGCTTCGAGTCATAAGGGACCTATTAGTGTCTATCTTGCTAAGGTATGTGTTTCTCTCTCTCTATCTCTGTCTCATGAGAAAGATTTGGAATGGGAGGTGGATGAAGAAGTATGAAGATTGCTAATGTGTTTATGACAGGTTGACAACGCCGCCACCACCGCCACGAACTACAACTCCCTTTCTTGGTTCAAAGTCGCAGCCGAAGGACTCAATACCGGTACCGGAAAATGGGGTGTCGATACCATGATTGCGAACCAGGGGTGGTGGGAGTTTACCATGCCGTCTTGTCTTGCTCCTGGACAGTATGTTATGAGAGTTGAACTTCTTGGTATGTTACTCCTTCTCTGAATTTCCATTCTCAGTTTTAACTGGGTTTCGCTAATTGATTTTGAATAGCCTTGCACTCCGCCTACAGCTCTGGAGCAGCGCAATTCTATATCTCGTACGTTCCCCCATCCTCGCTTAACAACCTCATCCATTACATTATAGTATACTAGTGTAAGAAGAAACTGACAAATCGGTGTGAAAAGATGTGCAGGCATTGAAGTCACCGGTTCAGGAACGAAGACCGGTGGCACTACAGTGAAATTCCCTGGCGCGTATACCGCCACTGATCCGTACGTCCTTTTTTCCTTTCCTTTCCTCCTTCCTCCATTTTCGAGTATGTCAGAGCATGGGCTGATACGATCCATAGCGGAATCATGCTAAACATCTATTCCTCCGGTTCACCTTCGGTTCCTAATAATAATGGGAAGGCTTATCCTATCCCTGGACCTGCGGTTATGACTTGTTAGTATTGGTATTACCTTGGATTAGGAGATTGGGTGGAGTGAGTTAGGGTGGGATGGTAGGTTGGGGTGGATTCGGTTGTAAATATTGAAATATTTTCGCTATGCTTGTTTGTTACGTATTATACGTGATTTGAGGTGTTATTAAGTAGCTGAATCTTAAGCTGTTTGAGGGTTTACAAGGATATAGGTAGGCTTGAGTGAGAGTTTAGAGGTTAATTCAAATTGGATTCAATAAATTTCCAAGTCTTTTGGTAAACCCGGAATAAGTAGAATTATTACCTACATATGAATTGTTTTTCATCTTATTGTTGACTTGATTAACTTAGAGTTAGACTATTAAAACTGCTCCCATCCGACATGCTCCAACGGCATTCGTTCCGATCATGGAATTCGCGTCGACGTCGAGGAAAATTAATCGAAGGAAACTCAACGCTATTGCTTTATAGCCCACCTTGAAGCAGTCTTTTGGATTTTCTTTAGATTGAGGATTAAGTCGAATACTACTCATGGCAATAAAAAAAAGTCCGTGGAATTCTTAGGGAAATCTATTAGATATCGACCCAAATCCATTGGCAGAAATGACAGTTTTATTTGACTTGGAGGGAGCTCCATTGATGCCATTGGATTGGTTTCGGCTCTCCACGCCCAAGATTTGATTGTTTCAGTGGCTATATTAACATCTCCAAATACTCTCGTCTATCTGACCTGTTTTTGAGTTTACGAGAAAATAAGCTCGATCAAGCAGTGCTGAACTGACTGCATTCGCCTTGGTTGGCACCGAGGACCACGAATAAACAAGCGCTGGTGGAGGCAACAAACAATGTATGCCAACTGAGTGCAGCTAAGATTGAAGAGATATATATCGCACGCCACTTCAACATGGTCTGATAGCAATGTCAGTAATATTTCATGGAAAAGTCGTCCCCTGAAAGAATTCACTGTACTATCCGAAATGGCAGCGGCAAGATCTAAAGCTTGGACGACTGTGGTGCGGCACAATCAACACTTAAGAACGAGGGCAGTGCAGGTAGAATCGAAACTTTTATAAGTTGTCACGGCTATTCCCATCAAATGGCAGAACGAAGGATAAGATCGGCAGAAACCTATCCATCTAGGAGACCCGATCATTCAAGTCTTTAGTAGTAAAAGTACAGAGGCGAAGTGCTATATATTCTACATTACCTTGCACAATTTTGTATATAATGGGCGGTCTCTAGACTTGATGCTAAAACAGTTTGAGAGCATCTATTATGGCCGAGAAATATATCGACCCACTTCTTTATACTCTTTCATAAGTTACATCTACTTCGAGATTTATTTTCGCCAGTCTGGTTTTCTGGAGGTCCTAATTTAATGGTGTGAGTCCCGGTATTTTTCCTTTGCCAACTTCAGCAGAAAAGGTTGCGTGACCCGACAGGACCATATCTGCCCATTTCAATCTCGCAAAGAATTCTCGATCGTTGTTTGCAACTTCCATGATCTACGGGGAGCTTGGGCTATTATTGCGGTAGAATATACTGAAAACGAGGATGTTGTGGAGGTCAAGTACGAGGAGCGTATTTCAGACTTCCTGCAAAAGCTGCGGCAGCAGTTCTCTGGTAAAATTTCATTTGAGTAGCTGGGTATATGTTTTCAAATTGACTTTTCAACCATTTTCAATCAAACATTCTGGTTACACGCTATCCCCTCCATGCTCCTTGTCCCACAAAATATATATTTTGCCCAATTAGGGCGTCACGTGGGCGTATAAAGTGGGTTTTAGCGAACCCCATCAAAATATTTGTTCTAGTATAATATACAAAACCTCTATAGTAATTAAGGATGTTTATATAAGTTTAACAATCTCTTATTTAAATATGATGCCACGATTGGCCCCAAATTTTGACGGTAAATTACTTCTATATTTCTATATAAAAAGAGACGTGCTAGAATCAGGGGTTCGCTAAAAGACAGCTTGGCAAGACAAGCGACGCGGAGGTGATGCTGTATGTAGCCCGCGTCGGCGAGGCGCAGCAGAGGGGTCCCAACCACGTGCCAAATGCCAATCTCTCAAGTCTCCCAATCTCTATAGTCTCCTCTTCTCCCATTTCAGATGGGGAACGAATTTTGTGATCACAGTCCATAATATCTAAGCAGAATTTCTAGAGATCATCGTTCCAGTGGCATACATCGCAGTCGATCGCATCATATCGCATCACGCCACCATCCGCTTCTCTGGATTATATTTACCTAGGCATCTATATTTATTTGTATATATGTATATATGTATATACATCGACCGTGGACTTTTCATTCTGTAATGTAGCCGATGCCACCTTTGGCCCACAGATCACCTCATCATGTCGCACATTCGATTTCACCCTTCTTTTCGAAGAGTCGTTCCTCTCAATCGACCCCTCTACTATCTTCCTGATATTCGCCTCGTTCCGTGTCTCGCGTATCTTCTCGAAGCAACCAATCGTTCGTAAAGGACGCCTCCATGGATTCAAGCTGGTGCCTCCCTACCCATGCCCGCTGTACGGTCTCATCACTAACTGTTAATGTGATAAATTGCCATCACGCTACTCGTGGCAGCAGAGGTCTCCCAACTGGTGCTGACCTCTTTCACGCCTTATGTTAAGGTCCCAACCACCACGGCTAGCCATGCGCTGGCCATGGTGGTGACACTCCCAATGCTACTTCTGTCCCACCTGGAGCATTGCAAAGCATTGAGTCCGTCATCTATTCTCTGTACCTATTTATTCTTCACCCTCCTTCTAGACATTCCCCGCGCGAGGACGCTAGGGATGTCAAATCAGTGGATGGCTGCATCCGCGACCCTCCAAGCTACCATGGTGATTAAGGTCTCAATCCTGCTTTTAGACCTACAGACCAAGGTGCGGTTAATGGTGCGAATGGATTGGGACCTCTCGCCTGAGGAGACGAGTAATGTGTTCAGTTGTCGGCTCTTCTGGTGGTTGAATCAATTGTTCCAGAAAGGGTATAGCAAATCGCTGGCGTTGCCAAATTTATATGTCCTGGACGAAGAGTTGGCATCTAAAACGGTGGGCTCAAAACTGGAAAAGGCGTGGAATTCGCGCCGTGGGTTCTCCTTTGACTGTGTGATTATCCTCAGCTAAGTTCTGGTGTAGGGAATCACACATCCGAATACAGTCTAGCCATCTCCCTTTGCGAAGCTTTCGTATGGGCTTTGATGGCTCCAATACTCCCCAGGTTGTGCCTGACCGGTTTCATCTACTCTCAAACCTTTCTCGTGCAGGCGGTGACCAACTTCTTGCAGCAGAGTTCACAAGTTGCCCCGGATTATTGGGGGTATGGCCTGATCGCGACATACTTCTTTGTCTATAGCGGCATTGCCGTAAGTTCATCACTCTCTTCATATCTCCGGACGCTAAGTCGTGCGTAGCTTTCCAATGGATGGTATTGGCATAAACAATATCGATTAATTACCATGGTTCGCGGGTCGCTTGTCTCCCTGATATACTCCAAAACACTCCGGATGGGAGCGGGGTTGACAAGCGATGCTGAAGCTACAACGCTCATGAGTGCTGATGTGGAACAAATTGTCGTGGGTCTCCGAAGTCTTCAGGAGGTTTGGGGTGGGATGTTGGATTTAGGAGTGGGCTTATGGTTGCTTTATCGACAAGTCAGTTGGGCTATGTTTAGTATGGCGGGACTCACGCTAGGTAGAGGTTCCCTTGTTCGTCCTAGTTGAAGCGACTAACATAGGCATAGTTTGTACGTTGGGGGCCGCAAAGACTGCACAATACGCTAGCACACGGCAAAATCTCTGGATGGATCGTATGTAGAAACGACTCTCAGAAACTATCAAAGCAATTGGCCCACTCAAGAGTATTAAAATGCTCGGCTTTGAGGACAGGATTTGCTCGATGGTCCAAGGTTTGCGACAACGCGAACTGAAGGCCATGGTCCATTTTCGCATGGCAACTACTTGCAACATTAGCTTAGGTAAGTAAAGACAATACACAAGCATTGATAGCGCTAATATGAAAGTAGCCCATGTCAGTGTCTTCCTAAACTCCGTTGTCGTGCTCGCCGCTTTTCTCCCCATTGCAAATCGAGATGGTCTGCTCCATGACACCAATCGGATTTTCAATACTTTGACTCTGGTTTCGATCATGAGCGAGCCTCTGCAGAGCTTCCTGCAAGCTTTGCCCAAGTTGGCTATGGCGGTTGGCTGTATCTCCCGCATCCAAGCCTATTTACTAACCGCAGACCACCATGACCCTCGGCAATGCCTTGACAACAAACCTTCTAGTTCTGCTATCGATGCCAGCCTTCAACTCAAGGTGAAAGGGCCGGTGAACACGTTTGTCGTCCGGAATGGCCACTTTGGCTGGGTGGAAGGCAAATCAGCGGTCCTCAGAAATGTGAATGCCACCATCCCAGCAGGAAAACTCACCTTGGTAGTAGGACCAGTTGGCAGTGGCAAAACTACCCTGCTGCACACCCTACTTGGAGAAACCGTGCGGATCAGAGGAGAGGTATTGCATAGCAGACAGGCGATTGCCTTTTGTGCCCAGCAACCTTGGTTGACGAACACTACCGCGCGAAAGGCGATCATTGGTCATTCTCAAGAAGATCCGGTCTGGTATGACTGGGTAGTTAAAGCATGTGCACTGCATCGAGATTTTGCAGGGATGGGAAAGGGAGATCAAACACTTATCGGTAGCTCAGGGGCTGCCTTAAGTGGGGGGCAAAAATAACGAATGGTATGTTCTTCCAACTATGCTATGAGGGTTGCGCTAATTGGGGTCTAGGCATTAGCTAGAGCTGTCTACTCCCGTAAGCCGGTTCTTATATTAGATGACGTATTAAGTGGGCTCGACATGCCCACAGAAAGGTTTTTGTTCAATGCCTTGTTTGGACCTGATGGTCTTCTCCGTACCGCCCTACCTGACACCACTATTGTGTTGGCAACACATGCAGGTGAGTCACGTTATCTGTAAAACTTGAATATCTTAGTTAATGTATATCAGTCCAGCACCTCAAATCTGCCGATCACATTATCGTCATGCTACCTAATGGTGATGGCTTGGACGAGGGTGACAGGGGAGAACTTTCCTCCCGAGGTCGTATCTTACAAAGCCCTCAAGAGTTAAGCGATCTAGAGGAAGAGGAAGTTCAAGATGAAGGCGATCAACCTGTGATGGGGGAACAATTGGAACAGCCAATTAGCTCCAATGAAGAAACCAAACCACATGAAACGAACGCCCTTCATTTCTATCTAAAGTCCATGGGATTCTGGAACATTGTTGCCTTTATCGCCATGGGCGTTGTCACCGTTGGTTTGTGGAAACTATCTGGCAAGTCCTCTGTGTTGTGATCCCATGATGTATTGTATGCTAACCGAGCTAGAATGTTGGGCACGTGTTTGGGCTGAACACAGCGAGCGACATCCCGAAGATCCGCGGGCTTCTTATTATGTTGGGATATATGCATTGATGAATGCAATTGCAGTCATTGCTGCGGGGACTTGGTTTGGGTTAGTAGAATCCCAATCGGTGAGGTTTCTGCTAATGGATCTGTTTACTCAGACACTTCCTATTAGTCATAGTTTCCAAGACTGGACTCGACCTCCATGAGTGCATCTTGAGGACTACACTTAAGTGCATATTACAATCTCTTCGTATGAATCAAATGCTAAATTATGCTTAGTGCCACTTACTCCTTTTTAAGTCGGAAAGATACTGGGGCTCTTGCCACGCGGTAGGTCATAACATCGGATCTAAGAACTTTCACTGACAAGGGTAGAGTTGGACAAGATCTATTCATAGTCGATACAGAACTTCCAATTTCCACCGCAAATACTGCCTTCTGTACGTTGCCATCCCTACCTAGTAAACCCATCTGATGCAATCTCCCAGTTTTCTTGATTGTGGTAGCGCAGCTAGGACTCATAGCATCCGCATCAACATACATCATCGCAGCCTTTCCTGTCCTAGCCCTCTCTATGTACGCGGTGCAACGAGTCTATCTACGCACCTCACAACGGATCCGCCGTATGGATCTCGAGACCAAAGCCCAATTTACTGATGCGCCTAAGGGAACCGCTAGCATTCGGGCTTTTAACTAGTAGGGTTCGTCTAAAGAAGAGAATGTTACTTTGTTAGATGATAACCAGCGGCCGTTTTACCTTCTATTTTGCGTGCAGCGTAACCCCTCCCATTTCTATACGTCTTAGTCTCCCTTCTCGCAGATTTGCTGACTACATTGGACAGGCTGGCTCGAGTGTGTTCTCGACTGTACTGTTGCCGGATTAGCTGTCCTTCTAGTAGCCATCGCTGTAGCTACTCGTTCCAATGTGGGCGCTGCACAGGTGGGTGTTGCATTGCTAAATTTGGTGAGTCTGGGCGAATCTATGAAATCTCTCGTCAAACACTGGACGACGATGGAGACTTCCATTGCGGCCATTTCCCAGATTCAGGATTTCGTCGAGACGACTCCGCAAGAATCTCCGTCACGGAATGGGAGCACAGGATTTAAGCCCGAAATTGATGCAAACGGAGGCATGGCACTCACTTTGACTCATGTGTCGGCGAAGTATTCGTAAGTTGAAGGCTGAGAACGCGGAGGGACATATTATTGATCCCTTTCAGAGTCAACGGATCAAATGTCTTGTCAGATCTCTCACTCAACATCGCACCGGGAGAAAAGGTCGTTATATGCGGCAGGAGCGGCAGGTAAGTATCTCATCTTCTGTCTCCCTCCTTTCACACCATCGCATTTCACACAATTCTAACCCCTCTCTCCCAACAGCGGTAAATCCTCCTTCCTAAACGTGCTCCTAAAAATGATACACATCACCGGCGACCTACACATCGGCCATCAACCATCTTCCTCATTCGGCAACCAAGAACTCCGCCACAACCTTAATACCATTCCACAGGACCCGTATTTCTTCCCCGGCATAATACGCAAGAACCTCGACCCAGATTCGAGCTCATCGGATGAAGCGATCGACGCCTTGATCAATAGAGTGGGTCTTGAGAATGAAATTGCCAAATGCGGAGGATTGGAGGGTGAACTTGCCATTGAAAGCTTTTCGGCGGGCCAGTTGCAGTTATTGAGTCTTGCGAGGGGGGTGTTGAATCCGAGGGGTTTGTTACTTCTTGATGAGGCTACGAGCAGGTAAGGCCATCCATCCATACGTTGTTTGTTTTCGAATATCTTTTATGCTTTACTAATTCTAGGAATAGTGTGGATTACGAGACAGATAAAAAGATGCACGACATGATTTTTGAGGATTTCGCAGACCAGACGGTGATTTGCATCGCAGAGATGAATTATATCGCTTTGATCGTATGGTGGTGGTGGATCAAGGGAGGGTTGTGAGCGTTGGGAAGCCAGGCGTGGTGAAGCTTGAGATGTAAATATCTCAATCTTTTGGTGTCTGTAGCTGTAAGATACTTTGGGACTTCCAAACCAGGACAAAGAGTCATCTACCACTCAGGGCAATTTGTTTCATATACGGTTAAGAGTACATTTTGAACGCAGTCCGCTGCGCGGTCTTGGTCCCAACTTCAACCCTAAATTCAAGGATCCCGTGGGTTATTTACGGGTGTTTGGCTGTTTACATCGAAACCCTTTCAGTAGCAATGCTTATTACTAGTCGTATTACACACTATTATGGAACTTCTTTCTATAACATCATGATTGTATCAAACGTGTTCTTAACCACTTAAAGAGAACGGTGACTTGGGAATATTGAAATATAAAGGGGGGAAATATATTCTTTTTCGCAAAAAAGCACGGTTTATAAAAACCCCCGAAATTAAAGCTTAATTCGTAACTGACTATACTTATATTAATCCTTATCTTCTACTTCCCTCCCCTCTCCCCCTCCCCTAACCTTAAACCTCTAACCTTATAACTCCCTAAAGCAACCTATAACTCTTCTCCTTTACTTCCTTTCTCTTTATAAACTAAACTTAACTCTTAAATCTATCTTACTTGCCTTCAAGGAGGATAATAATATATGTAGGATATATAATAAAATATAATATAATATCAAGTAAGAGTACTAAACAAAGTTTTCCTTACTTCGACTTATTTTGGATTTATTTCGAATTTATGAATAGTACGAAGTCACGGATTAGATTTTGTTGTTTCTACTATATAGTTAGTAGAGAGAGGATGAGTTAAGTGATGGTAGGAAGTGACGGTAGGAAGGAAAAGAATGATAGTAAATTAAGATTCTAGAGTTGATATAGAGAATAGAAAAAATAGGAAGGAAGAAAGCATCACAAATAATTTTAGGAAAACCGCCCAGACATCGTAGATGAAACGAAGACCGAAATAGAAAAGACCTCCAATCACACACAAAACCCTCAAATTTCTCACATACAATAATCATCACAGAATTATAAGGCAATATATACAGTACAACATTTTCCCCCCATAAACACCGAAAACTCCTTCTATCAATATGAACCACTCACTTCCTCTTCTTCCCATCGTTCCCTTCCTTCCTCGCCTTCTTCCCCTCCCTCTTATCTCCAAATTCCTCATTATAAATCTCCACCGCGCTCTCCCCAACCTTCCGCTTCTTCTCCTTCCCACTCCGAACACTAACCACCGTGTTCCCCCTCGCGGACTTGATCTGACGTTCTGCCTCGGCCCATCCTGGTGCTGATTCTTCGATTTCGTATCTGATTGGGGTGTTAGTTGGGATGATTTTAAGGTTGTAGATGTTGGTTGGGATTGGGGGGAATATCTTACTGTGATAAAGGAAGGGCATCGATAAGTTGTCTTTGCTTTTCCTTTAACTCTTTCATTGCTTCGTCGCCTCCCTCTTCCAATTCGTCTTCTAGGTTGGTTTCCAGCGGTACGAATCGATCATCCACGATCTCGTCATCTTGACCACCATCCGCATCTTCGCGACTCACACCCAAGTTCTCTCGCTTAGGTAATTCAGCCTCAGCCGCTTGATCCACAAGTGATCGAAAATGCGAGCTCATCTTTCGCATAATTTTGATGAACATAGCGAGTAACTGTGAAGAAGGAAGGGCAAGTTCGGCTTCCACATCGGAAAGATCTTTATGTTGAAGACCGACGGCGAGGAGGATGGCTTGTTGAATACCAGTGAGCTTGATCGCAGGAGAAAGACGGGAGGTGAAATAAAGGACCGAGAGTTTTGGGACAAGATCTAAGATTACGTGATAGTCGAGCATGTTATTTGCGTAAGATTCGAGACGTTTGAGATCAAATGGAGAGAGTAGGGCATTGAGCTCGCTTGTCGTGAGAGGGGTTGCGATATATGAGGTATCGAGTTTTGAGCCATTTTTGGAGGATTCATCCAAGGAGAGAGCCATAACCGAGGGGAATGTGCGAAAGTTGTAGGATAGAAGACTGAGGAAGCGAGTGTGGAAATCTCGAGTAAATGCACCAAGCCAGGAAGGATCGGATGAGTTAGATAGGGGACGAATCATCACACAAGTATGTTCGCCAGTCAACTCATTGGAAGTTTGGCGAAGGTAGACAGGCGCGAAAGATGCCCGTTTCCAAAATTTGTGAAGGGGCTGTGTAAGTCCATAGCTGACTCCCACGTAATCCAGGGGAACGGGTCGCCGTTCTGAAAGTTTCGAAAAGAGAGGTGGCATTTTGCGAATATCACGAACCTTGATATCGTCATCGAGAAGAGAGGCATTGGTCAACTCTGCATCCGTAACTCGGGTGATGGTTGGCTCCAATTCCTCGGTGATTTCTTCTGAGAGATTGGCAAATTTCCCTTCGTAGAAATCGTTGAGAAGTTCGAGTGCTTTGCTTCCGTATCCCATCTGAGTGTAATCCGGGTTTGTAGCTATTCGTACAACACGGGCACCAGAAAGTCCAGCAAAATCTTCATCTTGAAACTGCTGGCTGACAATCCAGGGGATAAGATCACCGGCTGCTCTTTTACCTCTACTCAAACTATTCAATACACTCTCTTTACTGATCTGACCTTCCAAAGCCACCTGAATAACACACAATGGCTCTGGCAAGTGTTTGCTGTCTTCAGAAATTGGTGGTACAAGGACGAAAAGTTGATGTGCTGGGGCGTCACTCATTAATTGCAAATCATCAGGCGAATTCTTGTAGTGACTTGCGACATAAAGCGCGATCATCTGCTGCAAAAACTTTTCTGAAACATCATGGAAAGAAAAGAGCGTATCCCGATTGACTTGGAGCAATTGGCATTGAGTTAGATCAGGGCAACCCTGAAGAGTGTTGAGTTTTGATCGTGGTAAAGTGGCATCAAGACACAGAACAGTATTGAGCCATTTCTCTACCAAATCGCCCTTTGCATAACGAATGGGCTCTGCAAGGGTGATTTCACGCAGTGTACGACCTCCAGAAAAGCTGGTATCGGCAGTCTTTGACGCCTTGCCAGTAGCTCTATCAGCGACCTCCGCACCTTCAGGCTTAGACCCACCTCTTGATTGTTGTCGAAGCTGCTTTATCAGCTTAAGTGATAAGGAGCGCCCAGTACCCTCATAACCGTTAATCGTCGATGCCATAAAGACAAGGTATGGGCCCATCAGTTTTCGAACGAGCGGTAAGGGAATTGCGGCAGCTTCATCAATAACGAGAAGCTCGGCTTGGCCTAAGACGTGGGCATCTTGAGGACGGATATATTGAATGGTTTGACGATGTTGACGATGGATATTTACTCTCACAATGGCTTTGTTGAAATCTGGATTCGTAGACTGGATAATCGAGTAATCAACGTGGTCCATGTAATTCAGAGCATCAAATCCTTTAAAGATGAACTCGAAAAGAGTCTTTAAATTTTCAGGACTTGGAGATGTGATGAAAATATTGCTGTATCCATGGGCTACCGCTGCAGCAACTGCCACACCTAAAGCTGCAGACTTTCCACGGCCACGAGCAGCGGTCAATGTAACCGTACTCTTTAATGTTTTCTCGGCAATGGCATCCACGAATGTCAAAAGCGCTTTCGCTTGGTCCACCGTTTTCGCTAATGTTACCAATGATCCAACTGGTTGCGTATCCTGTAAAGCCTCCTTCATCTCGCCCAGTTCCTTCTGCGCCTCGGTTTTCGCTTCGTTGACATCCGGAGGATGAAGAGCTGTTACATTTTTGCCACCAGAAATCGGTAATACATTCAGTTCGTCGTCGATCACCAGACAAGATTCGCATTTGCCCAAAGATAATATGAATCGTTCATTGAATCGTGCGGTAATATCATCGTGCGCCTCGGTTCGGTATCTCGAATGGATATCCATGGATAATGTGTAGAGTTGCTTTAAACTGTTCATTCCCTTCAACAACAGCACAACTAGTCCTCCACCCTCTACCGTCTCAATGGTTCTGGCTAGCAGATTTGGTGTAATGGCTTCGAAATCCTGTAAAATGCACATTCCGTATGTGTTTCCAAGAATCTTCTCGGTCTCTTTGTAGTAAACATATCGAATGTCGTGCAGGGAAACGAAAAGTTCGAATGGATCTTCAGTATTGGCCTCTCGAACCCCGCGCTTGATTTCCTTCTTGATTTTGTTCTCGCGCTTTTTTCGGTGACTGCAAAAGGGAATATAAGTAACTATTTCTATTCCTCGAAAGTAAAAGTATATCTTGCCTCGTGAAGTTCAGAAGCTTGTTCTTGTATGCCCACAAGACCGATTTGTTCTGTTTCATGTCCATACTAGACATGATATAATGTAGATGTACAATAACATCCTTAGACCGGTCTCCTACCACGACAATAAAACTTCTTTTCTTCTCTTGGACGCCATTGCGAATGAGCGAGGGGATGCGCGAATCTCTGCAAGTCTTCACTTAGCATCTATTCGCAATTCACAAGAGCAGGAAAGGAAAAAAACATACACTGCTTTCTTGACCATGTTGGCGGTAGGTCGCAGAACGAGGTCGTGGGATGGGTAGAAGAGTCGGTCCCAGAACGACGAGAACTTCTTGAATGATTGCGCTGCAGCTTCGATCGCAAAGCTCGGTCGGCCGCAACTTTTTTTTCTGGTTCACCTGCAAGGCTTATCGGCCAGCTGATGCACGTGCCGCCCCACCGACGAGGCTGAGGACAAGGCTGAAAGGTTTCTATTTTTCCAGCTGTCGAGTTGAGGTCCCTCTTCATTATGAAAATAGGTCCCAGAATCAAGATGATGAGGTAATTACCTAGAAGAAGCCGTTGTCATTTGAAACATGTAAGAATCTCTTTTCAATCAACTCATCCATTCCCCATTATATACGAGTATCTTATATCTACCACTTTTCCACTCCAACCTTGACTTTCTCTATTCATTTACTTCTTCTTATCATAACTATTTCATCCAGACATAGAAACACCGAGAGATGTGCTCGAAACACAGCAGGATGTCATCTATTGCAAAGACTCAATAACCAAAGCAGATGCTCCACCACCACCATTGCAAATTCCAGCAACACCAATCTTGGCCTTCTTCTCTCGCAACACATTGACCAAGGTAGTAACGATTCTAGCGCCAGAACAGCCGAGTGGGTGTCCAATGGCCACAGATCCACCGTAAACATTGACCTTGGACTCATCCAAACCAAGAATCTTCATGTTGGCCAATGCAACCACAGAGAAAGCCTCGTTGATCTCATAAAAGTCCACGTTGGAAGCCTCGACCTTTGCGTGCTTGAGAGCTTTAGGAATGGCCAAGGCTGGAGCGGTAGTAAACTCGCTAGGAGTCTTCTCCGCATCTCCCCATCCCAAAATCTTCGCTAATGGCTTGAGGCCAAGCTCCTTCAGCTTAGCCTCGGAAACGAGAACCAGCGCGGAGGCACCATCGTTGATTGGTGCGGCATTGGGTGCAGTGACAGTTCCACCGTTTGGCATAAACGCTGGTCGCATCGCCTTTAGTTTGTCGACGTTCAAGTTCTTGACTTCATCGTCCTTCTCAATCTTGACATTTGGCTTGCCACGTCCACCACTGACTTCCACGGGCACAATTTCATGCTTGAAAATGCCGGCCTCGGTAGCGGCTTGAGCCTTTTGGTAGGACTTGATGGCGTACTCGTCTTGTTGCTCTCGGGTGATGGTGTGGTCTTTGGCGCACAGCTCGGCTGCAATACCCATGTGCTCCTTCTTTGCGTATGAATCGGTCAGACCATCCTTCAAAACACCGTCAACCAAGGTCACGTCACCATATTTTGCTCCGTTTCGAAGGACGGGGAGGTAGTGAGGGACGTTGGACATGGACTCGGTTCCACCGGCAACCACAATATCAGCGTTACCGGTCATGATGGTCTGGGCACCGAGGATGATGGCTTTGAGTCCGGAAGCGCAGACCTTGTTGACGGTAGTGCAAACGACATTCTCGGAAAGGCCGCCGTTAATGGCACATTGACGAGCTGGATTTTGTCCTAAGCTGTTCAGATTAGCCCAAGCTCGAGGAAATAGGGTGGGAAGCGTACTTTGCGGACAAGACATTTCCGAAGAAGACCTCCTCCACATCTTCTGGCTTGATTTCTGGGACACGCTCAACGGCACCTAGAAATGATTTAGCTACCAATACTCATTGCCAGCAGTTATCGTAGGATCAGGGCTCACCCTTGATAGCCAGAGCGCCTAGTTGGGTTGCGCTCAAGCTTGAGAGGGAGCTATCAACTTTGTCAACATTACCCCTCCTTGAATCGGCCGAATCACAACGCACCCAAGGAAAGATCCCACGGGGGTTCTGGCAGCTGAGACAATGTAAACTGGTGTGAAGGAAGACATTTTGGAATGTGACAATTTGGAAGTTGGAGATGCAGTTTCAAGTCCAATGTTGAGGAGGGAGAGAGGAAAGAGAAAGAGGGGGAGGGGGAGTTGTGGGTGTGAAGGGTGCGATGCGATTGATAACAAGCTGAGCGATCACTCATCTTTTTTGTTACCCACCACCCACCACCCACCTTCACCCAACAAACAAAGCGGTGAGCCGACTTCGGGGTCCTCTCCTTTACTGTACGAGTACCAGGTAAACCTCTAATGCAGGAACACCCGCAACTTCCCAAAGCCAACTTGACAGCGGCCAAAATATTGGCTTTGCTTGAGACTGATGTGAAGAACCTTGAGATATTGTTGTTTTCGGGTGTAATTTCCTACCTGAAACGATAGAAAAAAGCAATATATTTTGCTATCAATGATTGGAATACCTGTGCCTCGTACCCTACACCCGGGCCGACCTGTCCGGTGGTGTAAATCTGCAAGGCTATGGTCACGTGATCATCTGGCTCCGTCGCGACGGGAGGTTTTTGTTGCTCAAGTCGCGATCCAGGCCAGAAAGTTCAGGTTGGTCGCATCCAACATCTACGCCTGAATCTTTATTCCCTGACTTGGCCAATATGGATGACCTTTATGATGAGTTCGCTACCTTTGCCTGCCATGATCTGCAGATCAACTAACAAAACCGCAGATTTGGAAACTTCATTGGCGAAGCAGAGTCGTCCGAGGATGAGAGTCAACCAGGCGTTGATGCCGGGGCATACGTATACGATGACGACCCAGAGGATGTTCCCGAGGCCACAGGTCAGGAGCTGATGGAAATAGATGGCGAGTACCACTGTGCAAGGAGGAATTGAAGTGCTAACTTCCATTCAGACGAAGGGCCATCAAATGCGGTCGTACTCCACGAAGATAAACAATACTATCCTACTGCGCAGCAGGTCTACGGAGAAGATGTCGAAACGATGGTGCAAGAGGAGGATGCCCAGCCTTTATCAGAACCCATAATTGCACCCGTCGAGCAGAAGAAGTTCACCATACAAGAAGCCGACCTCCCACCTGTAAATTTCGACCGAAGCTTTATGACGGACCTTATGAACTTTCCAGATCAAATACGAAACGTGGCATTGGCAGGACATCTTCATCATGGAAAGACTGCCTTTATGGACACATTGGTTCTTGAGACACACGATATAGTGGACCGATTGGAAAAGAAGACGGGAAAGAAACGAGACGAGCAGTTGCGCTATACGGATGTACACATTCTGGAACGTGAGCGTGGCATTTCAATAAAATCGGCACCAATGAGTTTGGTACTTCAGAGTACGCATGGAAAATCACATCTACTGAATATAATCGATACCCCCGGACACGTCAATTTTGTGGACGAGGTTGCTTCTTCACTGAGACTCGTGGATGGTGTTGTGCTTGTAGTTGATGTTGTAGAGGGCGTTCAGGTCAATACCGAACAAATTATCAAACATGCGGTTCTGGAAGGTCTGCCACTTACACTGGTGGTCAACAAGATGGACCGATTAATTTTAGAGCTTAAGCTTCCACCATCGGATGCTTATTTCAAACTCAAACACGTTGTTGAAGAAGTCAACACTGTGATCGAGAACACATTACCCGGCCAGGGCGAAAAAAGAAGACTGAGTCCAGAAAAGGGCAATGTCCTTTTCGCATGTAGTAGTATGGGATGGAGTTTCACTCTGCAATCCTTTGCCAAAATGTATGCTGATCGATATCCACCCAAAACAAAAGGAAAGCCTGGAATCGACGTACAGGAATTTGCGCGACGATTATGGGGAGACATCTTCTATAACCCAAGAAAGCGCTCATTCACACGAAAAGGCATCGAGGAGGGTTCCAAGCGCTCTTTTGTCAACTTTGTGCTCGAACCTATCTACAAATTATATGCCAACACCATCAGTGAGAGTCCAGAGGACTTGAAAGAGACTTTGGCTACACTTGGAATAACTCTCAAACCATCTCAGTACAAGACAGATGCAAGCGTGCTTCTGAAGTTTGTCTGTGAACAATTCTTTGGACCATCAAATGGATTTATTGATATGGTTGTGAACCACATTCCATCCCCTGTAGAATCCGCTGAGAGTAAAATCGAGCGGTACTATACTGGCCCACTGGATACTGGTGTTGCAAAAGCCATGAAGGAGTGCGATCAAGATGGTCCTTTGGTCATCCAGGTCTCAAAACTATTCAATACAAGCGACGCAACTGGATTCTATTCTTTCGGCAGAGTGTTGAGTGGAACCGCTCGACCCGGTTCTCAAGTTCGAGTTCTGGGTGAGGGGTACTCGATTGATGACGAAGAAGATATGAGTTTGGCAACTATATCTGATGTGTGGATAGCTGAAACAAGATACAACATTCCAACGGACGGCGTACCCGCAGGAAATTGGGTTCTGTTGGGTGGCGTGGACAATTCAATCGTCAAATCGGCGACATTAGTTCCACCTACCCTCCCCGATGACGAAGATGCATACATTTTCAAGCCTATTGCACATTTCACTGAGTCGGTTTTCAAAGTTGCTGTGGAACCGATCAACCCCTCAGAACTGCCCAAGATGTTGGACGGTCTGAGAAAAATCAACAAAAGTTACCCGCTTATCACCACCAAAGTCGAAGAATCCGGAGAACATATCATCCTCGGAACGGGAGAACTGTATATGGACTGCGTTCTACACGATTTGCGCCGTCTCTACGCAGAGATGGAAATCAAGGTCTCTGATCCAGTCACACGATTCTGTGAAACGGTGGTTGAGACTTCGGCCATCAAGTGCTATGCGCAAACGCCGAACAAAAAGAACAAAATCACCATGGTTGCCGAACCCCTCGATCAAGGCATTGCTGAAGACATTGAAAGCGGCAAGGTCAGTATCAAGAGCTCGAATCGGGTCATCGGGAAGTTCTTCGAGGAGAACTATGGCTGGGATCTATTAGCTTCTAGAAGCATTTGGGCGTTCGGTCCCGACGATTTGGGACCCAATATCCTTCAAGATGACACTCTTCCCTCTGAAGTAAGTTGGCACTTTCGCGTCATTCATGCATTCCCAATGACTGGAAATTGTACGGAGGCGGTCGGCCCGTTTATGCTGACGTATCATTTCTAGGTGGATAAGCGACTGCTCATGAGTGTCCGAGACACCATCAGGCAAGGTTTCAGTTGGGCCAGCAGAGAGGGTCCATTGTGCGAAGAGCGTAAGTCACTTTGCCCATCCCATCCTCTTTTCCTCATCATCCCATCTTTTGGGGGCGTGGGTACATGGTGGTAGCGGTGTGGTGCTGGAACTATGTTGTCTGCACGTTGCACCCACGCCATTCATTGGCCCTCGCGGACCGATAGCCCATTCTGTGCATTTGCCATCACTCACTAACCATCAAACCTGGCCACAGCCATCCGCAACAGCAAATTTAAAATCATGGACGTGACATTGGCTCCCGAGGCGATATTTCGCGGGGGTGGTCAGATCATCCCCACATCCCGACGGGCATGCTACTCATCCTTCCTCATGGCGTCCCCGCGTCTGATGGAGCCCGTCTACTCGTGCTCCATGACCGGCCCTGCAGACTCGGTCACCTCGCTCTACACCGTCCTCGCACGTCGACGCGGGCACGTCTTATCCGATGGCCCGATTGCCGGAACCCCTCTATACCGGGTTAGTGGGCTGATTCCCGTCATCGACTCCTTTGGCTTCGAGTCGGACTTGAGAATCCATACCCAAGGACAGGCGACCGTCTCGCTCGTCTTTGATCGTTGGAGTATCGTGCCTGGGGATCCCTTGGATAAGGATGTTATCCTGCGACCATTGGAGCCGGCGAGTGCGCAGGCGACGGCGAGGGATTTCGTCTTAAAGACTAGGAGGAGGAAGGGGTTGAGTGAGGATGTCAGTGTGGCCAAGTTCCTGGAGCCAGAGCTATTCACGAGATTGAAGGAGAGTGGATTGTTGGATGGTTGAGCGATGAAGTGGCCATTGTTTTGTCTAATGACGAAGGCGCGATATTCATGCAATGGGTAGTTGGGAAGGCTGAAATCTCAAAACCTGTTGAAGATGGGATCTCGCAAGGCGTTGTTACAAAAAGTAAATCAATCCTATCTGTACTCGTATAAAATAAACCATACAAAGGTTGATAACAACCCTCGCATCGCGGCCCCAAGATACTAACACGAACATTATTATTAGTGGAGAGGGAAAACATGAACATCATTACAAAACGTGAACATCATTACAACCCAGACAAAAAGAAGGGGGAAAGAAAAGTACTCAAACCAAATGCTCAATTCTCAAAAAATACATTCCGACACTCCGTACTTTATTTTCACTTGAGAGCCCAACCATGAACAATTCCCAGGATGTCCTCCATATGTAATACCTCAGTAAGCCAAAGCACAAAAGTAAAACAATAGAAAACGCGTCCAGGACCAGGACAACCACTGACCAACCCCCGTCCCCATTATTCCACGCCGCAACATCGCATCAAAGAACCACGGGTGCCCCGAACCTCCCCATCCACAGTTCCATACTGTACGGAACTCGGAACGGAAAAAGGGGAGGGAATAATCTGGGATGGTGCCATTCATATGCAAGGGAATGCACGAACATGGCGCGCGACGCGAGGATGGGAAGCTATAAGCCAAGGTAATTGGAAGGCAAGTCAATGGAAGAGAAGAAGAAGAAAAGAAATGCCACGTGATTGTCAACCAACCAAGGCGAGGGAGGGGGACTTCTCGCTAATAACTCCTTGTTCGTATTTTCATAGTCGGCAGTAAGTCATTTTCCAAGGTTGGGATGGGATGGGCTTGTATAGATGTGGGGTTGGCCGTATGTTGGTCCGTTGGTGGAAGATACCTGTAATCTACCGTGATTGTGGAAATCTTTGGAAATTTGAAGGTGCTGACTACTGAGACATCAATTTCTGGTCATCGAATTATTGAAGTATCTCCTGCATATGGTCAGCGATCCAGTTGGTCAGTAGTAATTCAGTTAATATAACATTTCTTTTCTCAATAGTTTCCTTTGTGGACAGGCTCCAATTTTCGCTTATGACCGTTCATGCGATGTGTCCATGCAAGCCCAAACGTGGGATAAGCTTCTAGAAGGCAACTTTAGGATGTGGCAATAATGAAAAAACGTGATTGGAACTGGCTGCGTCTATGGATTAATTCCAACAGCTCATATCAGGGTCGTAAACTGTCCGCGCCAAGTTGTCGACAATTTTGTACAAGTAGGTTGATTTTTCTCTGGTGTAATCCTGTATTTTCTGTGCCGAATAAAATTTGATATTTCTTGAATCTGAGTATCCTAACATCCTGGCCTATAAAAGGTTGAAGTCACTGCGGACTCACTGGCACTTCATGGATTCTGTGATACTCGTGTAAACTTGGCTCCAAGTACGGAGGCTCGAAATGTCCGGTCGATTGGCACGGCTAAAGTATTCGATGTAGTTCTCATTGGTCACCATTGCACCAAGCGTATTTCAGTCAAGCATGGGACAGACGTGGAGAGAAAACAGTAAAATTGTTCCTCAAAACATATGAGATGCCCCGCAGTCGGAGGCGATTGGCGTTTGTAACTTGCAAGGAAGCGCTCGCTAGTTTCATCATCCTTTCGGTCACCGCACAAGGTTGGGAGCTGTCGACTTTGGAGACGAGTGGGGTGCCGTGCATGGACATTATTAACCCTCGAACCTCTCCTGCAAGGCTAGCTCTGGCGGATTCCAGTATATTATTGCCAAGGGCTTCAATCCAGAAAGGGTTGCCAGATTGTCGGAGCGGAGATCGTCGATGGAACAATGAGGTGATGTCGACTCAGGCGTGAAGAGTTATTGTACTCTATAGTACCCGGATCCCAACCTTTGTGCTGCTGTTTAGATTGCCAAGAAGTAACCCTTGATGGTGTAAACACTTGTTCAAAACTGGTACAAATTCGTGGTGGTTGAGCAGTCACGAGAAGATTAAATAGGTTTGTACAAGTACCAAGACCTAATTTCCAACCTCAGCTGTTTCGAGGCAAGGCTTCATCATACGCCTCAATAGAGCCATGATTTGTTCATTTTCAAGTGAGGCCGCCACACGCTCCTTATCCGCTAACTGCTTATTCAACTGATCGGCTGTATTGTGGGTGCCTTCCTTTATCTTCACTTCGACTCGATAACTCGGGGGTAAGGCCTGGTCTAAACGGACTCTTACGCATAAGCCAATGACGGTTGCGAGAGAGCAATGTGTGACCGTTGGAGTAAGTTCAACTCGTACGTGAGACAAGGCGGCGGGTTTGGTAAGGTCAGAGGGTGACGTGAGGTGAACATCTTGGAGCTTGACAACCCCAAGTGATTCGAGAGAGAGTGGATGTTCGGGATCTGATATGGGCGCAAGTAAATCTGTTTGGGTAGGATTAGTCGTGGATGAGATATTTGATATTATACTAGAACCATATGGCTGACGAGCGTTGAAGAGAAGGTGATCTCACCATAAATCTCCTGCTCATCGATAGGCTCCGCAGTCGTATCATCGGAGTCTGTGTCTGAAGAATCGGAAAGGTAAAACGGGTCACTGGCGTATGTTGGCTTGCTGGTCAAGAGCTCTCGGATACCATGTTTCTTGGATTCCGCCTCCTTTATGAACCGCCTCTGTCGATGGGAGGGAAGTTCGCTCGCGCTCAAGATTGTAGGGTTGGCGTTGTCTACAGCCATGGTGGCAGAAGGCGGAAGGTGGAAGTGGCGGGGTACTTGTACGTTGGTCATTTGGCTCGCAGATTGAGGTTGATTCAAAGTGTCAAGACGTAGATAGGGACGCAGATGACCAAACCGAGGCTTTGAGGTATATAAACGAGTATATCGAGGATCGCGTCTCCAAAATATTCTAGTTGTCGTTGTCGTTGTCGTTGTTGTGGATGTGTTTTTCTGGTCCTCGACCTTTTTTCACGTCATCGCCTGAGGTTCCGCGGATAGGAGCTACTGTACCCCGCGCTAAACCCTTTGGGAAAGCTGAAGCCATATCACGTGTGCAACCACAGGCCAACCCCCCCGGCCCGCCACCTCCTCCTTGTACTCGAAGTCGTCTGTTTGGTGCAGTCCTTTCGTCTTCATCGCTTGCTGTATGTTCTTTAGCCACCAGTTTTTCAAACTACTCGTGTGGTTCTCGTCCCGTATATTCATTCTATTTTCACAATAGCGCGCGCTTACAAGGAAATCTCAAAGTGTATAGGTAAGAATGCCTTCCTGTCAGAACTCTTGGATAGAGGCTGAATATGCCTTAAAGATATAAAAGCGATTCTTACCTAATACTGGTGGTCGCTCTACAACGGCCCCACGAGCCTATCCTGACGGCTCCATTTCCACAATAATGACAATATATAAATCTCCAGCAGGCCATGCTAAGCTCCTTTGGCTCATGGCGATCGTTGCTTCAATCAGATTCAGTTCGCATAATCAAGTCAAGGTTGATTACTACCACAGGGAAATCCCACGGTTTCACAAGATCGCTTTGGGGGCTTGTTATCACGATTCTCATCTCTGATGGACAGGAGTGTCTACCACATCAGGAATCTGCTTCTCTGATGAGGGTGTGAGAAAGGTGATGGGTACTGCACGCAGTCCTTCTGGGAAGACCATCAGCATGCACGATTCCAGATTCAATCTTGGCGCGGGTTGAAGAATCATGCATGGAATGATTCTCGTGCTCTCCGTTGACACGGCCCTTGCTTCGTGGAACTTGGATCCAAATTTGAAAGCAACGCCAGCACCGCGAGATGGCCCTGATCTTGATGTTAATCTTTGGCATCCAACAGGGGTTCGATCAGTCTCCCGTGGAACCCGGACAGCGCTTCGGCTGGAGCCGACGTGGTATAGGCTGGTCAAGTCAGAAGGTGGAGAAGATTTCTAAAGATGGATGATCTGCCTCGGCACCACGAAGACATTGACCAGAGGGGACTCGACCTGGAAATAGCGCGTAGGGATTGGCTGCAGTATTTGTCAACAAACGTTCATATTCAAGCTCCTAAGTGTGTCGCCTTGAGGAGATCCTATGGACTTTGGACTTTGGAAGGTCAATACAAACATTGTGCGGTCACGCTACACTCATTCGTCCCAAGGTCTTCCTTCTCACCAAGTCTTGGCCAAGACCTTGTGGCTGGGAACCGGGAAGCTTCTTCTGACAATTCGGTAGCGGGATCTTTTTGGGCGAATTAGCGAGAAGAAACAAAAGGCTAAACTTCAGTGGGGAAGCACACGCTTTCGACCGCAACTGGATCTGATTGGCTAGCGGACTGCCAGAGGTAGAAGTGGGTGTGGCGCCTGTGCGAGTTCTTAAGCTGAGTTGAATGTCCCTTTTCTATCCTGGTTACAAAATTGGCGTACTATTTTTAATTAATGAGTGCTAGGCCGTGTAGGTAATTTCTGGTTGCTACTTCATGACAACATTTCCAAGGCTATACTCGGTACGTTGCACGTGCTCCGTACCAGGTACCCTTTCACCACTTCATAAGCTGCAGAAAAGGACCTTCAAAATTACTGCGCCATCGAGAGGCTCAAGTGAGTCAAGTTGCAACAAGTCATTCAATTCAATGTAATGCGCTTTGGCTTCAACCCTCTTTGAAGCGACGAACTGCGAAAGGGGCTGCATGTGGCCAGGCGAGACGTTAGTACGTTACGCTTAAATTCCCCGCAATTTGGTTTCAGAGCTTTCTTTTTCCGTCCCAACGTCGGTTCGTCAACGCTTCCTGTCCAAGAAGTGGCAGGTTGTTTTTGTACGATCTTACACGAACTAAACGTTGCCGCTGCGCTACGTGGTGCATCGACTACGGTGGCTTCAGCCTCCTTTTCCCAAATATTTACCACATGGCGGACGACATCTGTTGTATGAAGATTGGATCTTTGGGGGACATTGCTCGTCCAGTGGGACTTTTGACGGCAATCAGCTGACCTATGATCGCCATCTTCAAACGGCCTGAAATAGAATCCACTGGATTGTGTTTCCGTAGCACTCGTTCCCGGGGCCAGATCTACATCTGTATCCGTTGCAATTAGATGCCGGATCAGTTGTCTCACTACTATCGCTCAAAGTGCTCTCAACCCAACGGGTGGAAAGCGGAAAGCGGAAAGCGCCTAGAAGGTCTGGATCATGGAAAGAGGTTGTTGTAGAGTATTCGTGATGGTAGTCGTGCCGCTTGCTTCGTAGGGCACAGTACAGTACACTCCAGATTCTTCTTGGTTGCAGCGAGTATGCAGAGGCAGGCCGCAGACTGCAGGCTGTAATGCTATGCTATGCTATGCCGCCATCTCTCCTCTTCTCATCTGCCAGACCACGTACCGTACCGTACGAGTACGACCGACAGCGCGGGGAATACTACCAGCACCTCGGCAAGAAACCATCACCACATATTCTCTGCACGTGAAGGAGATGGGATTGGCTGCCCAAGACTCGAGTCTGCTCTGCACCACTTCAGTCATAATGTTCCCTACCATTGCCACTGCCAGAGGGCGTCAGTATTTGTAACCTGGGGGCTAGCGAGCCAGAGCCAGGGCACAAGTCTTCCCTGACAACTGACCAGACCACAGAAATTCAACATCAGGGGCACCCTGTCTCTCCCTGTCAAAAAGGCCTGCTCCACGCCCCTGAACCCCTTCCCTTGCCCGACCGGCGAAACTCTGTGCAAGCAGCAGTGCGGTGCAGTGCAGTGAGCGTCGAGAGTCCCGCTTCTTCGTCCAGAACCCAGATCAGCACACCAAGGGACGCGATACGTTGCTACTCCTACTTCGAGGTACTCGGCACTTCTAGACTTCCTCCTAGTCGTTTCCACTAGAGATTCGACAGGCCGTGACTAGAGGCGAGAGGCGAGAGGCGAGAGGCGACAGGAGAGGGGTGTCCGATTCGGTCCTGCCTGCTGCCCTACCCTACGAAGTCGGACTGCTCTACCAGATCACGACAACCGCCAGTGCATTCATCTGGGCATGCGATTCCACTGCACTTTGCTTGAAATTAAACGTACCGTAGCACTATCCATCCTCCTGGATTAGTTTCACACAGTGTGCGGCAGCAAATCATCCAGCGACGGCATTTTTCTAGTCTCCAAGGATGACCTTACCTTGAATGGTCTTGTCTCCCAGTTCCAAGCAGCCCCATCCAGATCTACAGTCAGGAATTCAACCAAACCAAACAGCTACAGCTACAGCAACAGGTATAGCTACAGCTACAGCTACACCATTCCGCTGATTGCCATAATTCCGCTCTACGGACTGCGTCCACCCATACGGTGCCAGTACCCCGTATCATAGCAGTACCCATACCGCAGGGACCTGCCTGACAAGTCCTCTCCTGCTTCCCACCTCCCGCGTCGTTGTCTTGCTGCGAGCTTGTACTGACCCATTCTATCCTTCTCCCTCTACCCTCTCCACTACACTCACTAAGGCTACTTGTCAAACCTTCCACACAGCCCAGCCCACGGTACATGATTGAGTGCAGAGTGCAGAACATTGCAGAGCACACTCTGGGAGCATCAGGCAAGCATCCCGTTTGTACAATTACACAGCAAGCAGTCAGCGGTGGGTGGCTTGAACCTAGAAGTCCAGTGCACTGCTCTGCCCTGGCCTGTCCTGCTCTGCAATCAGGTACAGTACGAGTACCGTACCGGGTGGAAATACCTTTACCCCACTCGCTCATATCCACTCATCGAAATATAATATAGGTATGCCCTGTTCGCCTTATGCGTTATCCACGACCCAGGTCTCCTATCTCTTGATTTAGTCTGAGACTGATGACCCTGCTAAGACCTGACAGGGCTCATATCACAGCGGGGGCGCCTCGGAACCGTTGACCAGGGCTTTCTTAAAGTTTACCATATCCGTCATTCATCGACCCGACCAGATCTAGTCGACGACCGACGTTTCTTTTTCTCCAGGCTTTTGCCAAACCTCGATCCCAGAAAGCGAAGGATCGTGTACAGATTCGACCGCCGGAAAAGACCTTCGGTTACACATCAGCCGCATCATTCTTTCACAACCCACAATTGACTTTGCACCGCGCCGTTTCAACGCATCACCGTCAATATGGCTGGCGATCCGGGGAACCGTAGACTTCTTCCTCAAAGCTCACAAATGCAGAGCTTTTCTTTCGCGCCCAATGACTTCGGGCCTCGCGAGAACCAGAAGAGTAGGCTGTTCAGCATACTTCCTTCCCCGCTCCCAGCACTCTTTTCTAACTTCAACACAGACTATGTATTTGTTGATGAGCACAATCGCCATAAACGCCTGAAGGGTATGTATAGCTTGAAAACGAACATGTCCCAATGCTGATTCCATGTAGTTATGAGAGCGTGTGAAGGATGTAGAAGGCGGAAGATCAAATGTGATGCCGCAACAACTAACACCTGGCCATGTTCGGCTTGTGTCCGATTGAAGTTGAAATGTGTACCGCCCACCGTCAACTATGATAGCGCATTTCCATCGGTTGGACAACCATTCGAGCAGGAGAGAGTTGGATACGAAAGTGGCGGGAGCGCCGAAGACGAATATCACCAGCAAGCTTCGATGCAGCATCAGCATCAACAATCCCACCAAATGAATGCACCACACAAGATTGTGCCTCCGATATACACCCAGCAAGTGCCTTACTCGGAAAATGTTGGAGGTTACCAAACGATTCCTTATGGCGGTCCATCTTCCGCTCATAGTCTGCCTAACATGCATTATGGCAGTCTCCAGCAAACGTCTGTCAGTGTGATCGATCCCCATCAGCATTATTCTCAACAAAATGTATTTCCAACGCCGCCCCTTCAAGGGTCGCATCCCCAATCGCCTGACACATACGAACAGGACCAGTACGGACAACGGGATTTGGCTGATCTTCTAGGAGAGCTTCGCGTGAACGAAGCCGGCACAGGTAAAGTCGACTGGGCAAATCGTTCAATAAGAGACCAGCTAAAATTTTCTAGCGCCATATCTAAACAACAGAATCAAGACGAAAACCATGATTGAAGAGCCAGTATATCAAGACGCTGATGATTTCAAGACCGTATTGCCTCCCTCTATACCATCAACAGACATGAAAGTTCGCATACCACCAGAATTAATGCCAGATGAGGCAACAATCATGCATTATTTCGAAATGTACTTTGCAAATGTTCATCCATATGTCCCAGTCCTTAACAAGACACTGTTTTATCACCAGTGGCACACCAATCGGGAAGCAATTTCACCTTTGATTCTCGAGGCAATATTTGCAATCGCAGGACGTCTAGCAGATGAACCTTCAGAAGGGCACCAATGGCTAACACTTGCAACAAGTATTTTCTTGCTTTCTCATTCCAAGACTCTGCGAAAACTGACTTTCTGATTAGAACATGCTCATTCATTTATGGATGTTCCTCGGCTGAGTACGCTCCAAGCAACTTTGATAATTTTGAAGGCAAGAGAGTCGGCCCCTAAACGAGGTTATTATTTCCGTTCCTGGATGACAGTCGTCCAATGCGTGCAAATGGCCAAGGATTTGGGCTTGGATGAACACTATGAAGAGCACAAAGCCGGTAGACCTTGTGGGTCGGATCATGGTGATTGCGTTACCAAAACTAGGATCTGGCAGACAATATTCATATGCGAGTTAATGATCGGTTCTCCACAAGGTCAAATTACACTTCCTATATAATTACAGTCGATAATACTAACACTGCATAGGGCGCACTGATCTCTCAGTCAACATGGAAACTCTAGATTTGAGCGTACTAAGACCGGCACCCGATATCGAAGAATCAGAATTTAACGTCTCCCGGAACTTTACCTACTTTACAAGAGTTGTGCGCAACGTTCGAAGAATGAACAACGTCTACTCCAAGATCAAGAAGAAGAAGGAATGGGGTATCGATCCCGATTTTGTACAGCTCAACCCGTCCTTTGACGCTTGGATGAACGACCTCCCACCAGACCTGCAAATAACCTTCCCTGCCGACGGATCACCACCATGGCTACCATCTCACTTTATTGGAAACCTCCAATCGTATTACTATCTTAGCATTATTATGCTACATCGACCACAACTGACATTTATGGAACCAACCGGAATGGATGGAGGTTGGAAGCATCATATGATGATATGCTACTCCTCGGCAAAACAGCTTTGTAGATTGCAGGAGTCGACTCTACAGAATTTTGGCTTGACGGGTTTGATTTGTATGCAGAGGGGCATCAACTTCACAATATACTGCATCTTGACGTGTACGGTGCTCCACTTGGTAAGCAAGCTTGGTTCATTTTTGGGCGCGTTCTTCTTACTAAGTCAATTGATAGGTGGCACTTACATCACCAGATCCGGAACTCAACAGCGATGCTAGAGAATATTTCACAAGGCACATGCGAATACTAGAGCGATGCACAAGCTCGTGGCCTATGCCTGAAATGCAACAACAGATCGATGCCCTCCGAGAGGCTTTTTCGGCGGACACGAGAAAGCCGTTTGAGTTGAAACCAAGTTTTCCGTACGGGAGTCCTGGAGCGCCTGTCCACACAAGCCCTCCAAGGTCGGTCACGCAATACCGTCAGATTGGTCCAAATGGCACTACTATGGAACATCAGAATAATGTCCAGTCACAATCAGTCAGTTACACACACCATCCCATATCACCGCCCATATCTGCCGGTGGCGTTGCGGACACGAAAAGTGACTCTCCTGCCGCACAGGGTTTGGTTATGATGGCCGCTCAGCGAGGTCCGCCCCAGCAATCTATGCCAAGTAGTATTCCAATGGCCGATCCTAATGCTTGGAATCCGACTCGTATCTTTGAGTAAGTCAAAAGCCCCATTCTTCTTCCTCTTCACTGTGACGATGCTGTGCTAACTCATCATCCTCAGCCAGTGGAATTCTACCTTTGGTACGCCTCCTGTTGCAAACACATCTACTTCCCACCAAGCCCCTCTAAAACTTCCTGTATCAGGTGCCCATGAATTACCAACGCTGCCGGAAATGCAGTCGCTGCCAACGGTTAGCTTACCTCCAGGGTCTTCTCAGCCAATTCCCCCCCAGCAGTACTCGGGCGCTCCGATTCCGTCTTTTGTCAGTCCTAGCATGTGGCAAGAATCTGTGGCAAGTGTTTATGAGGGTGGGCTAAAGAGACATTGGGACTACGATGATTCGAATATGGTTAACGCCAAACGATCAAGATGAAGGAGCAATTGACCCCACACAGCCCACTCACCACGTCGACTAACGAGCGTACCTCTCAGGGACGTAGGCGCTGGTGTGGCATCAAGTTGTTTCATTGGGGGTATGATCGACGGGTGATATCACTTGCTCTGCAGTCTTCTACCGTAATTCCACCAAACAGGTATATAAAGATTGGCCCGGGGGTTTCGACCACCATGTTTGTACCTCTTCTGGAACGCATCGGGCTTTTGTCTTCGGCGCAACTGACGCCGTTCCAGTAGAGCGTGGGAACGAAGTGGTCTGCATTAGCCTGAGTAGCCATTCAGCCGGAACGGCATCTAGCGATGCTTTTTTTTCTCTGCATGAGAAAGCGGCGAGCTCCTACGATATTCCTCTTTGGGAAGATTTCTTACACATATCTCATGACTCCACCAAGAAGGGACCAAATCACACACAAGGGTACGCTGAGCAATGATTTATAATAAAAGTTGGTGGCAGTTTGAATGTTAGAGGATTTCCTCTACGGAATTTTTGACGAATTTCATCGATAAGCAAGCATGGGTTGGAGGTTGTGTTTATGCGTTGTGGGGGGGGTTTTCGCGTTTCGGACACCCATACATGGCGAAAGGAATGTTCTCAAACGAAAAGTTTTACGTTTATGCGGCAAGAGAACGAGATGGCTTGTCGCTCTGGCGAGGGGAGCCTTTGTATTATTATTGGGGGGTTACAGCGCGTGGGGGCTTGTACAACATCTTTGCCCCCTAATCAGGTTTTTCTTTTACATCGCTTCTGATATATACCTTTTTAGTTTTCTGCGTTGGGTTAGGTTGGGACCCATATTGTACAAATACGGTTTTGGAGTTGCATATCCTGGATATACTATTTGATGTTATTGAGCTGAATCCCACTACAAATTCTATTACTTTTCCTATCACGAAGCGGTTATCTACTCGCATATATCAAGGTAGAACCTTTGGTTCATGTTGAAGCACCGCGGGCGTTCCTGGGCTTTGACATCTCCTGCATTGGTCCCTGAATCGGCTGGTTACCGTTTCCGATTGCCGGGTTTGATATGCAGGATCATAGGGATATGCCGTAAGAACGTATGGATTTAGAGGGGCCTTGCAGCTTTGAACTGCCTAAACTGCATAAATTCTAGAATCACATCATGACGATCATGAAGCTTCGTTATCTCTTCGTTTCATCCTTGCTATAAGATGCATGCTCATAAGATGATTCTCATATTATAGCTGGGAATCATATAGATTTCCGCATTAGGGTATAACACCGATTTTACACAAACTATTCGTCTTATATTGTTTCTTTCAAGAAACCATGTTCTTTCCATCCCATCCTCCGCACCTGGATCTGCATACTTTCCAAGACCCTTTGTTTTACCCCCTTCTCACTTCCCCCATGCCCATCATTGATGTCTTGGCCAACGAAAGCACCATGGGTACTTACAAAGGTAAAGTACTTCATCCTCTCCCACATTCCCTCAATTTCTTCAGGACTAAGCGGGATGAAATTGGGTATACTCCACATGAAAGAGTAACTATTCATGCCCTCCGGCCTGCCTCCCGATTTGCTCTGACTCCAATCACCCACCCCCGCCGGCGTAGTAAGTAAGGTATCGGCAACCAACAACCTCTGGAAAGCCAGACAGACCAGACTCCCCGGAAAATGACCTCCAAGTTTCAGGGCCACCACCCCGGATTTCTGACCCCGGATCTCGATTTCTTCCGATTTCCCCTCAATGAAACAACGTGCTTTCCCAAGACGATCTAGTCGGTTGAGCCAGGAGACGTCTTCCCAGCTGAGGTACACGGGACAATCAAAGACTTCAGCCCATTCCAAGTGGGTGGTGTAGTAATGTGGATGCGAGATGATGATTGCTGCGAGGCCGCCTTGACTGTTGATCCATGCTATGGTCTGCTTGTCGAGGAAGGTTATACAATCCCACAGGATGTTTCCTAGTGGTGTCTTTATGAGGATTGAGCGTTGGCCAATGGCGAATTTGGGTTCGGTCCAGAGATTCCAGAAGCGATCGTCGGATGGGAAGGGGGTCCATTTGTTTCGGTAGGGAGGTGAGGTATTCAGTAGCGTGGAGAGGGTGGTGAAGTGTTGACCGTTTGGAGGGACGTATTGCCGAGGGTCGTCACAGATTCTGCAGTTTGAAAGGTGTGAGGGGTCGGTTGTGTCGTATTGTGTTCCGCACGCCACACAGATCAGTAGTTGAAAGGTGGGTGACGCTGTGTATCCGGCTGGTGGTGTGTCACTGTTGTTGTAAATGTTGAAGTCCGGGTTCTCGAACCTTTCTATGGTGTAGTCATTATATGGTCTTGGTGTGGAGATTGTGGAGGTTCTTGGAGTAGGGTTGCCGTAGATGTCCTGGTGGTGGCCAGGGGTGGAAGATGTTGACGAAGACATGTTTACCAAGCTTGATGCGGGGTTATCTGTGGGGTAACGGGTGATGTGACCCAGGGGTAAATGAATTCATGTCAAGCAAAACTTGGAGTCGGGAGAGAATTTATTATTCTCACCTTGAGTAGGAGAGAAGTCAGATGGATAGATGACTTTCAGGTTGTTTGCTACTGTCACGTGAAATGATCGGCTCACTGCTGCCGGCGTTGACATTCACAGATAAGCTTAATATACGAGTAAAGGAACTCTCTTTGTTCTCACGCGGTTGTAATTGATTTTCTTAAGGTTCTTGATTACAACAATATAATATTAAATGTCCACTACAAAACTTTATTGAACCCGGTAAACATGAATTGAGTTATCTTGGAAACTAGATAGAACGATGCAATAAATGCTCAAGCGAGCGGCCACGAAGAGCGGCCACAGAGCTCGGGTAGATACGTCCGATCATATCATCAGTTATGGGCCGATAAAGCTGTGGGAACCCGCCCATCTGAGCTCTCCCCCTCGGCGCATATCCGCCCCGCTCCGCCCCGCATAGCGAAGGCTTTATCAAGGCTTCAGAACGACAACTCTCCTTCCTCTTTACATACAACCCGAAATCGTTTACTAGTTTGGTCCTCAAAAGTCCAGAACAAATCAGACTTGACATCATACCTCAAGATGGTGTTTTTACTTGACTATTTCCAACACCAAAAAGACTGGTAAGCCGAGCTGTCCTATCTACTGCCCCACACGGCATTAGGCCCCGCAACCATAAATGGGGAGAGTTCAATGGAACCTTCAACATCACTAACTCCCATATCCAGCAACCTCAAAAAAGCAGAACGAACACAAAGACTTCGAGAACTTCCTTCCTACTCAACACCCTTTAGTTCCTCGGAAAGAGAAGTCCTTTCAAAACCAATTGAACAACTTGTTCGAGATGTACACAAACAAGCCCTCCAACCAATTGATATCCTCCGAGCCTACGGAAAGGCAGCTCTCAAAGCCCAGTCCAAGACGAATAGTGTGACCGAGGTTATGATCAGCTCGGCTGAAGAATGGATTTCAGATGGTAGCATAAATATGAAAGGACCTTTGGCAGGAATTCCGGTCAGTTTGAAGGATTCGGTGGTGGTTGGTGGATATGACACTTCCGTGGGGTATAGTTGCAATGTAGGCAACAAACAGGAGAAAGATGGAACGATGGTGAGGCTCTTGAAGGATGCTGGAGCGGTTCCGTATGTCAAAACGAATTTACCGGTTACGCTATTGAGTTTCGAGAGCACGAATGATGTTTGGGGGAGGTGTACGAATCCACATAATAACAAGTATTCCCCAGGAGGTTCAACCGGCGGTGAGAGTGCATTACTGGCTGCAGGTGGTGGGAGGATTGGAATTGGCTCTGATGTTGCTGGGTACGTACGTCGCTTTTGGATTGAGTTTGAAACCGCTTGTTGACAATATTATAGAAGTGTAAGAGTTCCGGCACATTTCTCTGGAATTCACAGCTTACGATGCTCGACTGGAAGATGGCCGAAAAATGGTATGGTGACTAGTATGCCAGGTCAAGAAGGAATACCCTCGGTTTTCAGTCCTATGTCTAGAACATTGGAGGACCTCACATATTTCACCAGCTCACTAATCGGAATGAAGCCATGGAAATATGATCATTCCATCCACCCAATCCCTTGGCGGGCAGATACATTCAAGGCGACAGAAGAAACGGAGAGGTTCAAAGTTGGCGTTCTGAGAACAGATGGGGTAGTTGATCCTAGTCCTGCCTGTGCTAGAGCAGTTGACGAAGTGGTAGCAGCACTGCAGAAAGAAGGACATGAGGTTATTGATGTCCATCCACCATCGCCATACGAAGCGCTATACATCGGATCACAGCTTCTCAATGCTGATGGTTGCAGGACTTTCAAATCCTTTTTCCGAACCGGCGAGTGGGAAGATAGGGGAGCAAGGCAGATGAGTTTTTACATGCAGTTGCCAAGCCCTCTCAAATGGCTGTACTACATGTGGGTCAAATACGTTCGTCGTGATGAGATCTGGGCCGGTCTCATCAAGGACTGGAAGGAGAAATCCTCTTATGAACAGTGGAAATTCGTCACCAAGAGAGAAGCTTACAAGGCAAAGTTCCACGACTGGTGGGAGAACGAAGCGAAGATTGATGTTATGATTACCCCACCCAATGCTACACCAGCTACCCCTCATGATGCAATGAAGGATGCAGTCAGTAGCTGTGGTTACACATTTCTGTTCAACCTCGTAAGTTCCGCTTCTTCAACCTCGAGATGTATCAGGATACTAATATTAAGGTAGTTGGATTATACTTGCGGTATCATGCCGATAACACACGTTGACAAGTCCCTGGATCAACTTCCATCAGATTTCTCCCTGAAGAAATTGAACGGGGTAGCTCAGGGGGCATATAAGCATTACGATGCAACAGCTATGCATGGGCTTCCTGTTGCCGTGCAAGTAGTAGGCCAAAGGCTGGAAGAAGAAAAGGTCCTTGCAGTCATGAAGAGAATTGAAGGTGCCTTGGGCGACGACAAGTACCAATTATTAGATATTGACTGAATATAAGTCGAATATCGGTACAGTATGATGATCATATTAGATGCTTAAATGATACCTATGTAGCCAGTATGAATTTGATCTTTCCCTCTCGTCCCTTTCCCCCGGAATTGACCGGAAAGTGTACTAGCATGCTGGGTCTTGCTTCTCATGCTTGACTCCTTCACAGGTACCCAGAAAACCTCTCTTGCAGCAGGATATCAGACAACAGCCTTGTCAAACAACGCTAAATGCAGTGAAACCCACTGACATCCCCCATCCTTCAATTCACTCGTAGACATAGGCTTGAAGCCACGCCGATATCGCTTCTGTTATTCCCCACTGCCTAAGCTTCTCGCTAATGCGCCTCTCCAGCACGCCGAAATAGGAAAGGACGCCACGGTACGGATCTGTTTATTTAACTTTCAGTCACAACGTATTTTCCTCTTTACAATTGATCTCTAAGACTTACGAAGTTCTCTTAACATACTCACCTCAACACTCAAAGATGGCGACTTCAACAAATCAAGAGGATCATTGGGATTCGAACGCTTACCAGAGCTCCGCTTCGTTTGTCCCCAAGTTGGCTACGAAAGTTGTTAGTTGGATGAGCGTTGATAAGGATGATGTTATTCTGGATCTTGGTTGCGGCGGTAAGTCTACTTTCCTGATCAATGACTTTGGACTCGCTGGAAGAAGCGTTCTCTAATCTCGCATTTCAGATGGCGTTCTCAATATCCAAATGGCACAGGTCCTAGCCAGCGGCACTACCGGTCGTATCCATGGTGTCGACAGCTCCGCAGCGATGATTGAAGCAGCTAAGGAGGCGGCCGAAAAGGCTGGTGTCTCAAACATCTGCACTTTCGACGGTATGTAGCATTCAATTTCAGAGACCAATTCTGTTTTTACTGACATACTGCAGTCCTTGATGCTACCAAAGTCATTGATAATTCATCTTTAGCAAACGGCTCCTACAACAAGGTTTTCTCCAATGCTGCCATGCATGTAAGTGTGTTTCAAAACAGATCCCACATTCTCTAAAGTTGACTTCCCCATTACAACACTTGAAAGGCATTACTGACATGGATGGAAGTGGATTTTGACACCAGAAGCCACACGCAATGACTTCTTCAAGGGTGTTCACGCTGCTTTGAAGCCAGGTGGAGTTTTCGTCTTCGAAATGGGCGGAATGGGAAACTGTGCGGAGTGAGTTACCCTCCTCTCGTGATTTGACTTGAAAATGTGCTGACCTTTTCAGGATGCGTTCCACCTTCCTCGCTCTTCTTGCTCCCCGCATTGGAATCGAAGCTGCCAGAGCTGTTGATCCATGGTTCTTCCCCGACCAGGCATGGATGAAAACCACCCTTGAAGCCAACTCGTTCCAAGTTCAGAAATTGGAATTGGAATATCGCCCCACTAAAACTGACAAAGGTGGTATCCTCGGCTGGTCTAAACTCATGGGCAAGCAATTCTTTGATGCTGTCGAGGCAAAGTTGGGCAAGGAGGAAAGAGAAAAGTGTGAGCAAGAGGCTGCAAGCATTTTGAAGACTGTTTGCGCTAGCCAGACTGAGGGTGGTGGTGGTTATCTCGGCTATGTCCGTTTGAGAGGATATGCTGTCAAGAAGGCTTGAAGTTCCTGAGTTGCTGGGGTAGATTTTCTGGTGAATCTGATGTGTCTTCATGGTTTCTTGTGCATCGGGCTCAAATTAGATAGAGCTACTTGGACCATGCAGGCCAGAGCTATCGCGGCTCGATTCAATATCTGTAGAAAGACTAGAACTAGACACGTCTATATTTCGGGATGAGTTTAATAAAATCCTTCTAGACCATACATCAAACATTTGAGCCTCAACAATCGACCCTAGTGGCAAAATTCTTCGAATTCCTTGTCGTGGTGTATCATGCATCATCTGGAAAGCCACATGCTTGGTACACTCGAGCAGTACAATAAGCTTACAGTCATCATCCACATTCGGAGATGCAAATCCCTCTTGTTGCACGTCGCAGCAGCCACCAACATATCCACATTGAGTGTCCCATTATCCTTTTTCTCCTTCAAGCCACCGCGGTTCTGCTTGCTTTTGGCGGGCTGGTGTATGTTTTTTGTGGAGTCGGTGGTTCTTTTTGTTGCATTTCGCGGCAACCACCAACATATTACTGTCCTGCATGAGGATGCAAACTCATGCGGGCTTTCTTTTTTGTGGGGCTTGTTGGTGGTGGGTTTGTGTTGGGGTTCTTTGGAGGAAATCTCAAGGGGTTATGTGGGGTAGGAAATGAAGTGGGCTCTTGAGGATTAGAGGGGTTATTGGGATGGGATTTGTTTCGTTGTGGTGGTTGCTGGTGGTAGTGGTGGGCTGGTAGTGAAGAGCTCGCTAACAAATACCCCTTTTCGTGATAATGGGCACGTGATTTAGGGGATGGAATTTCCAAGGTTGCGTGTGCGTGCGGGGTAGGTAATTTTGGTGTCATCATATCATGATCCCTTAGGTGAATGTGAGCTTTCGCCAAGATTATCATAATCTCGACTGTCCTTGTCGACGTATTATGCAAGAATACTTCTCTAGCATTTCAATGTAGTGGTCGAGTACAGTAATTTCTACCATAACATAACAAGTAAAGAAAAAGAGAACTGCAAGTCCGCAACCTCGGTTTCCCTCTCTCTCTCTCTCTAAATCGAAGACTGTCTCTACGATGAAAATAGTTGAAAAAAAATCTTTGTATGTATGCCACGACTGCTCGGGTTGTATTACCACGTTTGGTTCAATGAACGTCTGTGGTTTCTCATGATTATGAGTCTTACTCTCAGGCATCTTTGGTTCAGTGAAGCTCCCAGGTTACTGAGCCATATCAATCCCTCCTAGCCGTTGACCCATCAAAGTCTCCCTTCTTGAACATAGCTGAGATAGGTCAAATCTCCGATTGAACGAACTAGCGCACGCTATATTTGGCGCAGATGCAGACAACCGTATACCCATACTGGGTGACTGAACATACTGGGTGACTGAACACACGTGACTGAACACACGTGACTGAACACACCGTGATAAATCATCGGATGTGAAACTTCATCATTTTGAGACTTTTTCCTTTGGGGGATCTAATCTTCACTATGGCAAGTGGGCGCAGGGTTACTTACAGCAGCTCTTTCACTAGAGAATGACTTAAATGTGCTTTTGGTCTATGCATCTTAAGTTTCATTGATGATAGCCGCATGAGTGAACTCATGGGGTATGCATCGCGTTTTGGTGATATAGAAGCATTTCACCGCTCAACTGAGCGAAGCCATCCCCTGTCTCCAGTGTCGGCCCTCTGACTTCTACCATGTAGGCATCAGCAGCCCGTTTAAGCCCGGACTCCACGTCGAATATCCCGACCAGCTTAAACCTGACATCCCGCGAAGGATGCGAAAATTTACAAAACCCAGGGGGTCAAAGTTAAGGTCCCCACCTATCTCTCTTGTAAATCCTGGCAGTTTTACTGCAAGGTAGGTATTTTGGAGTTTAAATCCAAATTTTACCATTCAACCATAAGAATAGGCGAAGGCGACTGTGGCTTCCTTAACAGGGTATAAATTTCGTTACAGTCTTGTCAATTTAAAGATTCACCACAAAGCGTATTACCAATGATAGGTCCGATAAATGGTAGTGCACGTATCTTTTAACACTTTAAATTTTGAATGTTATAGTATAATACAAATACCTTTTATCTACGTACGAGTAAGGTTTACATAATAGAAATGTTTTCTTAGAAGATTGTGTGGATTTCTCATATTTATTTCTCTATACAAGTTTCTCAGATCTCTTGGATTAATTAAAGTACTCCGTATATTCAAAGTCTATGTAGCTCAAGTTTTTCCATTTTCTGACTAGAACTATTGTCCCATTAGCCACTCCCTGAATCCCTACTACATGACGGATTATAATCGCAAGACACTCAATCTAAGAAGTCGAAGCAACGTATTTCTGCTGAGGAATCCATCATATGCCGCTCTTATATTGAGATTGCGTACAAGAAGGCCCTGGGCCCGTCTCCTTCCAAGACGTCTGCCGCCGAAATTGAAGTCATGTGTTAAAGCTCTGGGTGCAAATAAGGTAGAATTTGTTATGAATGATAGCGTAAAGTGGTACGTACCGTAGCTTTCGAGAAGAGTACAGCAGGAGAGGAGGCGATATTGGAATTCAACAAGATGAACTGTTTTGTATGGCATAGGTACAAAACTGAGCATTGTGCCATTATTCTCATGATGTAAAGTCTTGGACCAGATGAAGCCTTGGATATGCCTGCGGTATGTCCGAAGCGAGGTTTCTTGGGAATCTTGTAGTGATGAGACGTGTTTCTGGTTATGGAGTGTTTAGGATTCATACCAAGTTCACATTTTTCTTTTGAAAAGCACGATATATCACTGTCTAGGGTGAGCAGAATAGATTAGGAAATTAAGTAAATAATCCACACTATGATTCTCTCTACAGAAGTGGTTTATTTTAGTGCTTAGTAACAGAAGCCATGTTGTTTCACCGCTATAATTCTTATAGATCTAAGAAGAATATCACGCAACGAATGATTATTAGCACTATCTGTGTTTGCACTAAAGCCTTTCAGTACTATATCCGATGGCAAAGTATGTTAGGTATTGTTGATCTCGGAACATCGTCCATCCAGCTAGATTTCATAAGGCCCATACGTATGTACTTGGTATAGCTGGGCGCTTGAGATAACCCCTGTTTTACTTGTTATATTTCACTTCCCAAAGCTTGAACGCTTTAAGGAGGCACCAAGCCACACGAGTGAACAAAAGAGATACATAGTTGTATACATTATCTATATTGGTGGTAGGAGAGCGATGGTGAATGAGCTGGTCTCGCAGATCAAGCCTTGAGAGAATAGCAGATCACTCGCCTTCTACGAAACTCTAACTGCCAGGTTGTCTACGCCGAGGAATCCTGCTTTCAACAGTCAAGGGAAGTGAATATTGGTACCGGGAGATGTAAAACTTCTGTTTCAGCTAGTGTACGAGCTGAAAACCTTTCATTTGAGAACTCCGGGTGAATAGCAAATTGAGCAAATTGCGTGATTGCTAATCTTGATTACATACGGAACCAAGAGGTTCAGTTCCGTAATGCTGAGGTATCTGGCAGCTTGTTAATGTGCTGGATTTGGAGGGTGTGCGTGTGTCTGGTAGGAATATACGAGCGCAAATTCTTAACGAAGTTCTCAATGGTAGAAATATAGAGCACGCGAATCGAACCACAAGAGAAGGCGTTGATGATCATAGTTGAAAGAATATGAGAAAGAAAAAAAATAGGGCTTCCAATAGTGGAGCATATGCCTAGAGTGCTCATAGTTTGTTGTGATCACATTTGGTTCAATGAATGTAGTTTCTCATGATAAGGGATCATATAGTTGACTATGTGATGAGTTCATACTATTCAAGAACACCTTGTGGCTTCACTAGATGTTGAGTTTTACACTCTTCTGCATCTTGGTCTCATGACTTCCCAAATCATGCTGACCATGACCCTCCTTGCTGTGCTCGTTATTTCCCCCCTTCTGCATAGGTGAGATGGATTCAGTCATAATTGAAAGGTGAAAGGTTGATGAACATAGCAATCCAATGATAAATCATAGGGTATGTCAATTATTCACTTTGTGCTTGACTGTTCCACGGATTCTCACTATGGCCGGTGCGGGCACAGTAGCTGTTAACCAGCACTCTTCCACTGGAGGTGACCTAGTTGCTAATGCCTAAGCATCGGATATTTGGTTGGTTGATGATAGCCGCATGAGTGAATCCGCTCTAGGAGCGGTTCTTTATGGGTATGCATCTCGGTTTGTGATGTTTAGAGCAGCATCGTCGCCCAGCGAGGGATCCCCACGCCTCCAGTGCCAGCCAACCAGCAGCTACACACGTAGGAACTGGCGACTCACAATCCAAACAAATGGGTAGGTATGTGTTCGAGGCGACATTCGTGAAGAATGCAATCCTCTAAAATTACCAAACTCGTGAGATCTGAGTCCGTGCCTATCCTACACCTATCGGCGTGTCCTGGCAGTGTGCTGCAAGGTAGGCTTTGAATCCTTTTAAGGACCAAAATATTACCGTTGAACCAAAGGAGTAGGAAAGACGCTATTTTGTGGTTATTCATGTCTAAGTATGCTGTGGTGGCAGCTGAGGCGAGGTTTCAGGTGGACATTCACTACTATATTGTAACAGGCACCGGAAAGACATTGTGGTGGGCCTTCTTTGCCTCTAATAATGAAAAAACAATTAGATACGGTAATTAAACGATTTAGAATCTCTGGTACTAGTATGAAAAGAACGGTTAAGCGTATAGGAGATGAATAACTAAAATTGCTCCTGTCCGACTTCTGGGCTCTTTGTAGTAAAAAGCTACTCACTCTCCCGTTCCTGAATCTTCTCACAACTACGTTCGTCCCTACCTATTTGAGAATGAGAAATATTAGTACTGCAAAAAAGCTTGAAAATCCCGCCAGGTACTGCCGGTTATCTAATAACACAACATCGAACTCGTCTCCGGCGACCCTTCGATTACCTACTGTCTCGACAGCCTAAATGACACCGAAGGATTGAACCGCAGCACGCTCGAGGGATTGTATGAAAATTATCCCGGGCAATGCTAATCACTCCAAAACGAAGACCCCATTCTAGCTCGTCAATTCTATGTAAAAAGCAACAATAGGCGCATGCTGACTCTACAACTTCTCTTCATTCGAGAATATTGTAACATTAATCATTGTACCTGAATTCATAAAGTGAAGAATCAGAGTCTAGCAAAACCCCGTACAGTAACAAACTGCTAATTA